AAGACCAGCGATTATGAAATCTCATGGTGTACTGGAACTGCCAACCGGTAGGTCAGGAGATAAAATGCCCTGGTCGTTCAACAATGACAATGATTACCAGCACAGATGGGGTGGAAGAGAACGACACCAGCTACACTGTGTTGGCTAGGACTTTCTCCGCCCCTGACAATAATGGCCTGATTTGGAGTGATGGCCCTCAAACTAGGATGCACCTGACTTCTAAGCAGAGTATTGGAGACATGGCACACTGTTGTGAACGTCACCAGTGTGAATGTTCGCCGCTTTGAAACCAGACCCAGAAAACCGGGACAACGGTGGACGATAACTCCTCCTCATGCTCAGGCCGCCATTATCATTCACCGACATGACAAAGTCCAAACTGGCAACCCTGACTCTACAGTGACTGCAGAAATCACCTTATGAAAAAACCTGATAGGAGGGATCTTCGCTGGAACTGGAACAACTTTTACTGCTAGACAAAACCTCGTGCTGTTAACCACTACCTAAACACCTCGAGGCAAGCGAAGCACCTTCAAGTGTCGTTACGGTCGTGTACGGCTATTTGGTGAGGGAGCCACAATACCTACGTTCACACCCTTCTCCAAAAATTATAATCCTGACAAGAAACTGGTTGTCACCGGATATAAGCGACAAAGTGTTTCTGTTCAGGACCGACAAAGAACAAGAAAAAGTATGTGCAGTGGCAATTTTTAAAGGTGGTCCATCAGAGCTCCAAAGCTCATTCTGGTGCCAGTCTGTGGTCGGTGGAACTGAATGTTTGGGAAGGAATCTGTGAAGAGCCTGCTAGCATCATTGAACGGACTACTGAGCCGAGGAATTTTAACTCTACAACTTTGAATCTAGGGCAGGGCAGCCTAACTTTGAGCTGAACAACACATCGAAACTCCTGAAAGCCATCAAAAAAGCCAGGCAGCTCGTAAGGATTCACAATGGTACCTGTTAGTCATGCGAGAAGTCAACAAATCTGAGCTACATTTCAATCACTGGCCGTCTTGAAGTGGAAGAGTCTCAGGTTCAAACTCCTCCCAGCAGCACCTGTCAAACCATGGGAGTGCCTGACATGGCCATCAGCAAACAACTGCCACTGGATGATCTCACCGCTGTCACTGCCTAAGCGAGATGAACAACGCGGACGCAAACAAAAATCCGTCGACAACCTTATGTCCTCAGAGTTAAAGTTCCTTGTTGATTGCCCGTCACTCAGAACGATTAAGAGACACAGTCAGGAGGGTGATTCTGAAAGATGTCCGCATAGCAGTATTAGAGCCCAGGATGAAAGCCTGATGGCTGAAGCAAGACACTGGGAACATCTTGGATGCCATTCGAAAGCACGGCACGAGTCAATTATTTCCAAAAATCAGCCAGACCATATAGCACACATGGCTCGAAGGAATCGCTGCAGCATAACGGTGCTGGTAGATAAGGGTTCATTCCATCCAAACCTCATCCATGATTTGAGGCGAACAGCAAGAACTTGCACTGATTCATGGAATAAACAAAATCTACTGGCCAGGGAAAGTGTGCTATGAAATGTTTCAGCGGGGTAAACTCTTTTGCAACGGAGGTGGCTGAAAAGCAGATTATGAACATATAACAGATTACAGAAAAATTGTCAAAGTGCTGCACGCGAAAGTCCAGGGGACACGACAGCATCTACATATCTGTGTCGAAGTTGTGTGTGGTTTCCCCCATGTGTCCCACCTAAAAAGGGGGAGACAGGCAGGACAAGGGAAGATGTCGGCCTATAGCACCGCAAATAATGCTTCCAAAAGTAGTGAAAAGCCAGGCTCAAGGCAACACCAGGGAATGCCTATATACAACGGGGGCACAAAATGGCGTTCAACCTGGCTCCTGTAGGTATGGGTTATGAGGCTGCAACATCCTGGCAGCCTCTCGGGAATTACCTTCCGTTGAGTTTCAGCTTCCTGATCCTACTTAACGCCAACGACGTTACGTTAGGGAGAGTCATGTCATTATCGAGCTCACCATGGGGAGGCTTCATAATGCTGGGGGGAGCGGTAAAAGATGATGGGCTGGTCTTTGATAAGGACAAACGTTGAACGTTTTTCCTCATTTTGGACTGACAGAAACTATCTTACTCTCTCATTCTCACACGACCACGAAGGAAGACCTGCAACTAACACTGAACGACAAGGGCAACTTAGAAAGCCACCCGGACAAATGCCGTAGTAACCAATCCGAACCCTATATTTCGGCTTGAGAGGTGGCTTTTCAAAAAATATGGCAGCTTAGCTGACTATCTCAGCAGTTGCTACAGTGGCCCTTACCGTGGCTCAACCACAAATTAGATACTACGTCAAACTATCCAGCAGATATCACCATGGTCGAAGCAGTACCCCGCTTCTTGAGTAGACAGATAGATTTTATAGCGTCAAGGACCTTTCGGAAGATTTACAAGACCTATGTGCGAACTCACTTAATGGTTGATAACGTCATTAGACCACCAAGCCAGAATGGGTTCTTATATCTACCGAAGACGGTTTAGGGGTGATTCACGAAGGATTTCGCAAGGTAGCATTGAAAATTATGGGAGGATAAACTGAAGGACTACGGATCCCGCCCTCTTGGTTGTCATAGGTTACTTGTTGGCCTGATTACAGCTCACAACGTACCGAGTAATCCAAAATCAGGCGGGAGAAGGAGGGGGGACAGGAAATTTGTCCATAAAGGGCAAACACTCACCCAAAGCAGGCTGAGGTTGCCACCTCTTTATTTATCGACCAATTCAAGGGATGTTTGGGAAACTATGCAACGACATATGGCTTGGCCTCATTCAGTCGGGATATGGACCAGGGTAAAACAACCAATTGATTTAACACCACCCGGCAAGGTTACCTCCATAGCTACCGTTTTCCATTACCAGCACCACCATGAACTTGAGTTAATTTTCTGCCTCCCTGTTAGAAGTCTCATCCTTCCAGTTACCATGCCACTAACCACATCATTTCTATTTATGATATTGACGATTGACAGTAACGAGAAGTGTACTATTGTTTTTCTTACCATTTCTACTTTCATTGGGCATACCATGACCTTTGTCCGCTCCTTTTTTCCGATAACATTCTAAAGCTTAACCCACTCATTTGGGTTCTGCATATCCACTTCTCTCTTTATGGAGTATGTTCTTTGGTTTGAATACCCGCTTGTTTTGCCGGACCAAGGAGACCTGAAAGGACGGGGGTAATCAACCAACTAATTAATTAATCAGCCAGATATAGGTAGTGCCGCTACACAAGGTTTTAAGACAACGGGTGGCTCCTTTGTGTGCAGTCCATATACGTTAAGGGACTCTATGTATGCATCAAACCTGCTCTTGAAAGTATCAGGAAAAAGGCTGTGAAAACTTCAGGATGAGTGTTCCACAGTTAACATATTGTAGCTGCAGGTTAGTTGGCTTGGATTATCCTGCCTGCTGTATTCTGAAAGCATTGCGTTTGGGATGGTGTTTCTGATTAAAGCTGAAGAAAGGTCGTTTGGGATGAAGAGGACTATAGGCGGCCTAAGAAAACACAACCGTGCCTCTTTGAATCTTCCTCTATTGTCCTGGATACGGCCTAAGAGAAACTAAGCGTTGCGGATTCAATTCATGCAGTAGCCAAATCACTTTCTCTCTAGCTCTTCTTTGCACACATCCTAGGATGGCAATGTCCGTCTCTAATTGTGGGGAAATAACCGATGAACGTTCCTCCAAGTGATCAGGAGTAAATGGTCTGGATCACGTCCTGAGACGGTCTGGTTATAGTCTGCCTACAGTACGAGATAGGAACTCTAGAACTGCATGTGCCATGTTGGCTGCAAGGTGGCAATGCAGAGAAGCTCCGGGTATATAACTGAGGGTAACTCCTATATCTTACTCAATTTCTGAGCAAGAGTTATTTATCCGGCCGAGCAGTAGGAGCTGGAATTGCACATGTGCTTGTTTATCTCCACTGTCTTACACCTCTCCAAGTTGAGAGGGAGCAGTTTTTCACCCTTTCAATTAACGACTTCAGAAAGTCCTCCAGCAGGGTCAAGATATTTGTCGGTCCCAGTGTCCATCTTTGAGTCTCGAGAATTCAGACCCACTGATAAGTCATTTTAAAGAGCAAGGAACCATGCTGAACACACTGGAAACCTGAGGCACCTAACTCAGTTTAGGAAACCATTTAGGCAAAGAGGAACCCACTACGACTAGTTGATTGTGACAAGCTCTTGAGGTAATTTCTAAACCAACTCGGTAAATTATTGTGCACCCCATGAGCTGCAGTTTCCCATACAATACATCTTTATCAGCCCTTTCAAAGCCTGTGAAAAAGTCGTTCAACCCAATGTTAGTGGGCTTTTTCCGCTCAACAGGAAAAGTTCAACAACCCAAAGCTCTCAACAAGCTGGTGTTATGTGGCCTTCAAGGTATAAATAGGTGTTAAGAGTAGGCTAAGATCAAGATCCTAGGTAAACGGATACAAAACGGACCATTTCCACTTCTTTTCATAACTTCAGCAGCTCAAGAGACCATCAGGTCGGTTTGTACTTAGTGGGAAATAATGTATTGTCCCTATTATACACTACGACGACAACCGCTCATTTCCAGCCAGACAGAAATCTACATGAGGACTTCTGCGAGATGTTATTAGACTCCAGATGAGCGGGGACCTATGAAACACTTGGTACTGTGTCAGAATACATCAGTACTGCCAATACTTGTGAAGGAAATCTCGTGAGCTTTTAAACATGGACAGGTCTTAAGGAGCATACAGCCATATACACGCAACCGCAAAAGATTGAGCTGACTTTATACATTGAGACGCATCTTGGGCCTCTAATTGCTGCTCAGTTTATACATACGATCTCGAAGAAATCAGTTGGCTAGTGCTTACCTGTGAAATGGATATTGGATATTGTATGCCCTTGTCCAGCTTTTGAAACATGAGTAGTGTTTTCGCGCATTTAGTTATATTTCGTCAAATGAGTTGCTTTCAATGCATTACCTTTTATTATGCGTGGCTCTTGCAGTTGAATTTGGATCCATTTACTCAAGTTTGATAAATGAGGCTAAGGCATCGAACGTTTCGAAGTGGAAAAGTCCTCATTTCTGCAAAGTTTTATCAAAGTACATGAATTACGAAGATGCTTATAAGAAGGTCTTCCAAGAAATTACACAATATAGTTTGATTCGTAAGATTCATGCTCACGTTGACGGTAATCAATTCAAGGAAAAATAATTGTTTTTTGAAAACTAGAATTGCCGGTGAAACTAATACAATTCAACAGAAAAAGTCTCTTGGAAAATATGAAACGGGATGGCTTTAGCGGTACTGAGATCCAGTCGTATGCACTGATGTTCTATCATAATGTTGGTGAATTGTATAAGATGTTACCTGGTGAAATATCTTTTGAAACAGTTGATCAATACATGCAAGAACTAATGATATTCTTCTTGACATCTGGATCAAAAGATGAGATCCCGCAGTATACAGCTGCTGATTTGAGGCTATGCTTTAGGTCGAATAACCCAGTTCCTTCCTCAGTCAACATTTTCAGAGATAAATCTGTGGAATGGTTTGAAACTTTCAGTCCGGGCCTCATTCAATATCTAAATCTTCGTCGAATGTTGGAGGTTAGTTGATAATAATCGGGTTTATATATATCGCAGTTTGAATTCTTTTACTTGGTGTTTCTTTCTTTTGTGGCGCCAAGATGTTCTGCCTTATAAAATATTTTGAAGTCGATCTTGTAACTAGTTTTAGATACCCATTCGCAAACTTCGTCTTTTGTCAGTACTTATACTTTTTGAGAGAATTTTCCCTCTTCTTACATAGAACAGCAAAAAGTACCGAACCCATGAGTATCAGTTTTTAGATTTATATATACAGTTAATTACCGGCATTGTTTGCCATACACTTTATTGAATCTTCACACTCTTAAAAAGTCACGGTAAAATTAATTGTTTGCCTGCATTCCTATTAGTCTGTGTCAAAAAAGACTCTCAATTTGTTTTTCGAATTTGAAGTCCCAAGGGAGATGGTTTTGATATATTTAATGAAGTTAACCCCGGTAGTTTCTGAATCACACAAACAAATGTTTATCTCAGTAGGTAAGATTTATTTCGGTATTCGTTTTGCATGCAAAGTCTCCTCAAAATATTATAATGGTAGTATTATGTTACGACTCATGTTGTTTTGCAATTTACCATGATAGTTTGACACCATTATGCTAGATAATAACCAATATCTGGTCTTTCAACGCTATGGGTAATTCATGTGTGTTCGCCAAGGGCATTCCTTCTTAAAGGTAAGAAATCAAGTTTTCCACGTTTATATTCACATTTTTTGAGAAATTTATTAGTGCTTATGCAGTATGATCAGGTAAAGGGCAAATTACATAGGGTGGATTCATTTTCTAATAGAGTTACGGCATTTGCTCGCAATTTATGAATAAACTTTGCGTGTGTCCACGCTTTTTTCGGAGGTTACATATTACATTAAATATGCCTGTGGAATCTCTATACTTACTGACTTAATGCTCACACACTCACTGTTTTATTAATCTCACTACTCCTTAAAACTTGATGTTTTAGTTGACAGAAGCAGCTTTGGACTCTGGACCAAGCAAGTCATGTCTAGAAGGAATGAAAGAACTTAGTGCTGCATGTGAGAACACCAATATGTGTTATGCGCTTAGCAGTGAACAACAGTGTGCACTCCATGTTATAGTTACTGCTTAAATATTATCCGTGGGTGTTTAGCACCTTACGTTTTATTTATCCCCAGACAATTTCCTCAGCTGAACGAACAAGCGATGTCAAATAACAATAGTCAATCTTACGTTAGTGATATGCATGCTTCACTTAATGCTACTACAGTATATCATCTCATAAAAAATGGACTGAAAGAGGTCAAAGAAAAGAGCGCTTCTATTCAGCTTAAAGTGAGTTATGATATTTAATTACAAAAGCAATTTCGAAGGAGATACTAGCAATCTATTTGTGATGATCGTTATTTTGCTTAACAAATACTGGTTACTAGTTGCTTCTTTTTCTTGACGTTTACCTTGATGAACAGAAGCAGATTTCCGTTGACCTGAGATTTTGAACTGAGGTATGCTCTTCATTCACCCAGGTATTATAGCTGGTGGCAATGTCTCCTAACGAACCAGCTATATCAAATAAAACAACAGTAGTATATGCACTTTGAATACCGAGACAAAGTCATTAATTTATGATTATGCGCCAGACCATTAGTTTCTTGACATTTTATTTAATTCTTCCAAGAAATTATAAACGGTTTAGTCGCTGCCTATAAAACTTAGGGTATCAGTAGATTAAGGTTTTTACTGGGTTGGTTGGAAATCAATAGCAGCATCTTGAATGTGATTCACATTCGAAGGCCCCAAAATTTGTGGGATACAAAAAGCCCTAAATACCTTTATTTTCAACTATAATTCTTGTTTACTTTGATGGATAACTGATTCTTTTTTATTTAAACTTTCTATACTGCTTGCAGATACAAAAAGCGTAACAATCGAATTTTTGTACAGTTTCTTCAGACAATTCTTCTTTTGTAAAGACAAACACTTGCTTCGAAAATTGTTGCTGCTGATTTTCTGTAGCAATATTTTCGGCCTACATTGATTTATTAAAAAAAGAACAGTTCAGTCAATAAAGGGATACTTTTAGAGGATATTTTAAATCGACTAAGATTTTGGCTGTAGGTCAAATCACATAAATAAGGGAGAAAAAATTAAAAGAATCCTAGGAACAGAATATTTTCATCCATTCTTACTTAGTATGCTATAGAGTTAATAATTTAAGCTGCATAGCATTTCCACTGTTTCAGATAGGTAGGAGTTTTAGATATTTTATGTACCTTCTGTCACTTACACTGTTTTCAACTCTTACTGCAAAATATCATATCACAGTAGGCGTGTTTCAAATGACAATTTATTTTCCTGTAAGAATATATACGGTATCCTCAATAAATTTTTATAATATTAACTTCAAGTGAAAGTATTTGAAAATGGCGTGAAGATCTTTAATGAATATGAATCCGAATGTATCCACTTTTTACTACCATTTTTTATAGCTCGAACAATTTTGTGGAAGAAGCAAATCACGCAAATTAGAAGTCGCTACTGTTTTGTCTAGTAATTCGTACAATAATGAATCATACCGTAATCACATTGAGATTATATTCAATTCAAATTTCCATAGCATGGAATACAACAATTTGAGTAGTTTCTTGGCAGAATTTATAGATGATCTCAATGCTTTTCTTCGAAACAGATTCGACATAGTGCAGTATGGGAGAAGTATTGAGGCCCTTTATTGCTCCCACATGGATGAAAGCCAGTGTTGGAATGGATCAACTTTTGGTCGGTAAGTGGATCCAGGAAACTTTTAATTTGACTTGCTTCTTGATGATACTAGTATGCAAAACCTCATTGACGTTTCTCATGGATGGAAAAACTAGTGGATCTTCAAGGTATTGAAGCAAAATTGTTTAGATGAATCATCATCAACATCAACCAGTTATTACTGCCTAACGGTCAAAGTTGCCACAGCTCATATCAGTAGATCAAGTAAAAAGACAGTGAGGTGCAAGATGAAGATAAGAAAATTCAGTCAAAAGAAATATAAACTACTAAAAGAGAGAAAGAAAGAATGGGAAAATGGTGAGATTCGGTATAATGTTAAGATGAGAATTATGCCTGTATACACCTGCGCACCGACATCGAATCTGAGCCGACCGATAGCTGCTATCTTGACGTGGTGCTCCAGCTTGCATATCACAATGACCCAAAGAGCTAAACTGGTGGAACACTTGTTCCCTCGGGGTTTCATCATACCAGAAAGGTCTGTTGGATAGTGGTTGGGTGAAAATCAGTTACTGTTGTGGTGTAAATCACTACAGTATGGTGGGGGTCTGACAGCGAAGTAGTACTACTGCTAGCTGGATGGGGTGTGACAGCAGTAAGGTGTTTCGCTTGGATGACCAGCACGGCCATGCTGATATCACCTTCTCAGTGGAAGGGGGTTAGAAAAAGTCACCCCCAAAATAACACACTCCACCATGCCCCATGGTCTGGCGGGCCGGCGGTGTTGGTTAATTTGTCATTTCTTTCCAACTATCCGGCCCCAAAACAACAAAAGTTCAAAATAATCATACACAAAAGGATGGGTGTGACAGGCCTAAAGCAGATGTCCGATGGACTCTGCGGCCACACAAAACTCTTTCAGGTATCTTAAGAAGAAATAGCCTCCCACGGTGTGGGCAGCCGGGAAGTGTCAACCCCCTCACAACTAGATCAGCACTCGAGTTCACATGAATAGTTGAACAAAACCGAGTAGCCCTAAAGGCCACCTTACCAGCACCTAAAACAACCAGTCAGACTTCCTTATTTTGTGAGGATCTGCCATTCTACCCAAAATACATGGACCTAATTGGTTATTTCGGTTGTTGATACCTTTAAAGGTATTCCACAAAATGTCTGGCATCATTTAAGAGACACTACCAAAATAAGTGCTTAAACTCAGTGGTGCAGTGCAAATGTATTCGATTAAACAAGTCTGATATAGCAAGGTTATGTATGTGATAGGTGCTGCTGATATTCAGTTTACAAAGCAGGGGTAAACAATTTGAATGTAAAACTCACCGAAATGTTTTCAGCAGACAAACTTGTATGGATATTTTATTTATGATAGATTCAGAATATACAGTTTAAGTTGTTAACTTTATTCATATATATATATATATATATATATATATATATATATATATATATATATATATATATATATTCATGTCATTAACTGCTTCTGCCGTATTTTACTGCAAATAAGGAAGCGCTCTGATTAACTTTCGTCCCTTTATCTGTTAAATGGTGGTAATTCATATAATTTCCTCATTTGCAGACCATGTCACCAAAAATGAAGAAAACATTTCATCCTTACAAATTGTTTGCCAAGTGTATACTTGTAGTTTAGGGCAGTTAATACGGTTTATATAAATAATTAGTCGACAACCAAACCGAGATATATGGGGCTATTTTAAATGATAATTCTCTGGTCAGCACGATGAATGTCCATAATCCCACTTAAGGTGGGATAAGCCACATTTCATTGATAAAGTCTGTAGTGATGGTTTTCCACTTGGTTAGTGAGATACTTTTAGGCCTTGAGTTTTCAGATGCTGAGATCTCCAACTCTTATTCATCCGTAAGATGATCAATGCAGAATCTCAGTGAGAGACAGACGACAAGATTTTCTTCATGTAAGTTGTTGATTTATTTAGTGTAGACGGTGTGCTTGAGGGGATTAGTTTTTGATCTTCATTCCCTAGTCTGTGATAATGAAAACATTTTGTGATTCCGATTATTTTTCACAAAAAAGTCTACAATTTTTCTCTATAGTCAGCTTCTGCTAGAAGAATTCATTCTTTCCCTACTTCGATTTCAGAGGTCTTACTTGATTCTTCGAATAATTGTACTTGGTCATGAATTGCATACATATCTTTACAAAAGCATCAAATTAACATTTAGTATACAAGGTCCAGTAAGAATTATCCACTCTTCTTGATGTATCTAATTTCCATGGAAAACACAGTTAAGTTACTTGCAGTTGCATCACTGCTTAAATTCTCTATCTTTGAGTCTGAGTAGCATAGGAAAATGTAGGCTACCCAACTGAGGTTTAGGTGAAGACAGAAACTGATGATCAGAGACTCTAAGTGATATGGCTCCGAATTGATCTCACTGGCACAAATGCACCCACACACTATTGCAGTAGTCACAACATTTCATTTAACTGCTTCATTTCTACTTATTATCTTTTTACGATGTTCAAATGATTTCGACTGCTTTTTGCTTTAATGATCTGTCCTTCAGAGTGACTTGTACACTTGTATTATGTGATAACTGAAGCCGTTGGGCACTGATTCCAAGTCAGAAGGTGATGTTGACTAATTGACTTATCAGTTTGCAGAACTTAAAAATATAAACAAATAATCCATCCCAAACTAAAAGCCAAAGGAAAGGTGTAACATCGTAGACATACTGAGTTATGTTTCATTTCATTCACTTGTCTGCTTGACATTAACGTAGTTGTTCTGAATTCTTAGTGACTTCTTTTATTTTATCTGAGATGAATATAAAAGAGTTAAGATGAGTACTTGGTACACAGTAACACTCAAAAGCTATGGTTAACTTCTGATAGAAGTGTCTCATCAAAATAAGCAGGGTATACAAAAGACTGTATATACATTTGAATTGATTCATATGAACCAATGAAAGAAATGAGTGAGAAAGTCGTTAATCTCACCGGAATTATTCTTTACCTTGACTTCATCTTAACTTTATACGTACGTCTAATTACTTAATTTTCTGTTCTTTAACTTTGATTTTGCTTTATATCACTTGGAGCAAACTATTAAGCTATCAATCAAAAGTTATTATCCTTATAATAATATGTTAACTAATAGCACTCGGTGTATACATCATCTTGAATAGGAATTTTTGGTCTAAGGAATAAGCCTTAAAAGACTGTAACACTCAACTCAGCAGTCTTCCGAATTTTAAAGTGAAAAGTTCCTGAAGACACAACAGTACACAAAATGTGGAAGATGTAGATAAATCTCTTAGAAACTAAATTATTCTGAGCCTGAGGTCTGTTGACCCTTAATCTAATTTTAGGTTTGCCATTCAATTCTGATGACTTCCGATAAAATTTACTAGGTAAATTCAACACCATTATGTCATCTGCTGCGCATATAACTTGTCAAAATATTCTAAATGAGCATAGTCAGAAGTCTGGAAGTATATTTGTGCATTACACATATTGGCTCTACTACACGGCGAATTTCAAAAAATACTTTCTGACAGTCCCAGTTTAGGACAGTATTTTTATTCAGAGAACCAAACGTTATCTTGTTGAATTCCAACATATTTGAAACCTTCAGAGAAGGTTTCAGATTACCTTCATGAAAGATTACCTCCTACAAAGTATTATAGCTTTAAGAAATTTATGCGAAACCTAAGAAAGATATTCCTAAATTTGAACATGAGATAAACATGTAGTCTCTTAACACACAGTAGATCAAATAAAATATACTTGTTTCATTAAATTTTTATTTAGGAAATATGTGTTCAATGCAAACTAACGAGAGACTATAAAGATGAAATATGTGACTATCTTTTAATTCAGATTTAACATTTGTTCAAAAAATATAATAAAATATAAACTTCTACGTTGTTTACTGGCAACGTAATTATTGATAATGTATTTCATCATATTATTGTTCCACTCATTTTTTAGGGATAACTGCTATGTACATTCGAGAAATACTTCAAAAGTCCAAAACTTATGCTTAGTGTTAGAATAGACCGAAAAAGTTTTACTCCCTAAGGAAGAATGCTCACTGGCTTTTTTATTATCAAATAACGTTTCGGAATATGAGAGATTTTAGTAAACGTGGTGTGAAACACGCTTAAGTTATGCATATATGACATATATACATACATATACAGTAATAATAAGCCGAGGTTCTAAGGACTAAGCTGGCGGTATGGTAAATGAACGAAATTCTGTTTTTAGCTTCTTGTTCACGTGAAGATGTATGTTCGGCAAATTACAAGAGAAATATAACTTTCCCTAAAACCCTATGAAAATTACAAGAATACTTATCTCCATCAAACATGGTGGTTACATGTCAGACCAAAAAATGAAAGAGTTTATCTAACTAGGAAAGACACAGTGAACAAATTATTATTGGTTGCTAAATCTCATCGCAACCTTGAGAATGACTGAGTGTATGAAGAACGGATCGATAACAAAATTCTTGCTGAAGGTTAATCTTAGTTTAGAAGAATAACAAGAAATAAATGATACTTCCTAGTTTTTAAGCAATATGACGTATTTATTTATTTAAGAGATACTGATGTTCAGTCAGATGTTAGTTTTTCTTGGGAAGTATCCGGTTAAGAAAATTCATCAACATTTTATGGGACATAAGTTGATCTACTCAGTTTTGCTCATAAGGAATCATGTTTATTTTATATTAAGGATAGATAGTGGGTAGCGGTGAAATCTATGACTTGGGTTTCGTCTTGTTTGAATGTACAGGAAATATCGAGACATCCGCACAAAAGCCTATATATTGTTTGTGTTCTCTCATTCCAGTTAAAACAATGACAAGAAATTGCAAGCAATGATATCTAAATCGTGCTTAATTTTCTTATTTTTAGTGTAACTTTCAATTTGCTTTTGTAAAAATTTATAAATGGCTACCCGTAGTGTGACTGTAATAATCAGGATTACTGAGCTGAACTGCATCTGTGTGTCAGTCGGTTGTCAGAGTTGGTAAACATCCTACGTCAATGAAG